TTATCATTACTTGTCCTTATGAAGGCATTAAATGTGCTCCAACTACAACTTTTTTCAAAATTGCCAAGTGGGAACCTCACATCATGACATGGTCACCAAAAAGTTTATTTTTAATTAGTAGACTTTTTTTTCATAAAGAAAACCATAAAGCATTGATAGTATGCAAATGACTATCTCATTATGACTTGAGACTAGTAAAACACAAAGCAATGAGAATCATACACCTAACTACAAGTAAATGACAGACCACTAAGTTGACAACTTTTGGTCACCAAAATTTACAACCAAAACAGACCCAGTTCAGGGTGTTGATTTGTAAACTCTGTGTGCAAGCATGCTGTCAGTACCTTTATGGTGACCCAATCCAATCCCTTATTTGACAAAGAATAAGCAAAGAACTCTCCATCATCAGAGGAACATCTTTTAGCCAATGCCACAGTACCATCTTCAGAAAGTTTATTGGGGTTGAGAAATACTTGTGCTTCACTTTCCAAGGAGTCTTGGACATACAGAACACTATAATGTATATAAATCACACATTGATATGGTTAATCAAGTATCAAGCAAGGGATAAAGACTTGTTTCTTATACAAATTTTCTAGAGTGCTGGAAGAGATCTATAACTTTGTTACTCTTGACTCTGAAAATACCTCATGTTCTGCTTTTCACTAGCAAAGACAACAGTTGTTGTAAGGAATTACTGTAACCTGAACAATCAGACCACACAGTCAACTGTTTTTCTTTGGTTCAAACTTTTCACTGAGTGTACATGTACATGACAGATGCAGTCAATATTCCAGTTATTAAAGAGAGACAGGGATATTTTTACTGAAGTAAGGCCTCACATTTTATGCTCCTGAGACATTTTGCATAATTGATCTAAATTCACATCTACCTCTCACTTATTTAACCTGATCAATATCAATAAATCAGTCACAAGCAATCGATGTAAATCTTGCCCAAAGAAAAACTCTTAAATGTTGGATTATGAGAATTTAGCTTCAAGCAAATGTACTTTTAGCTGAAAAATGTACTTGGTAGGTCTATAGGGATATTGTCCTTCCATTGGCGAAATGTACAATGCATGGAAAAATTACCTGTTTTCATCTTTTTTTTTTCTCTTTTTCTTTTTTTTTTTTTTTGAAGAGGTTTCAAGCATTTTATGAGCAACAAACAAAGACCTCTGCCCCTTAGATACTGCACCTTTGATTTTGCAGACCAGAGTTATGCAAGTAAAAGTATATTGATCCTTTTTTGGATGGACAGCCATACTTCGGATAGTCCCACATCTCAGTTAGCCTGAAATCAACAGGTACCAACAGAATCAACTGAGCCACTGGAATATCTCAACACACAACACTACTTCATACAATTCATTTCCTGCCCACCTATTGCACATTCATAAGTAGGAAGTAAAATCGCCTTATCCGAAGACAATTTTGCTTTAAAAAAAATTAAAAATGAAATAACAAATAAACAAAACAAAATTCAAAGTAAATATAATGCAGATAATCATTTGAATTTAAGGGAGAGGATAAATAAATAACATAATGCCAAAAAAGATTCATAAATAGGGAAGTAAATAAGTAATTCTAGAGATGGTGTCTTAAAGACTACATAACGAAATCCATTTGATACCTGGTAAGGTTCACTATGGTACCTGCTTTTATTTGAGTCCTTTCTTTTCCATGTGTCATTCTGAACGCACGAGAGACTCTACGCTCGCCGGTCAAGTAGGAAAAAAAACTCCCAACTCTCCTACATTTGTTCGGAGTGACGATTTATTTTCATTGCAAACTGATATTCTTAGGATATGACTTTGAGCAAAACAACACGATCGAGCGCAGATTAATGATCTCTAATGTGATCTCAGTCCTTAAACAAAGCCATCATTCCTACCTGTTCTTGAAATTTTCTCTCGTCTCACAAGCTGCTAAATATGGCATCGTAATAGCATTTTACTGTTCTACAAAGGATTTCGTTTCTTCCGAGTCTGGGTCTTCTAACCAAACTTAAGGATCGCAAATCTTCGTGCCGTGATAATCATTTCCAGCACTTTCATCCCTTCGGACAATGGGGTAACAGATTCCGGACGCCATGTTGGATGCCGGGAAAGATTAAGAACGGCTCCTCATTATTTGGCGACCTGGGTTCGAGATTACGTCATTGTTTCTAAAAATAACTAAAGCTTTGTAGATGAAAGTCAGCAAAAATTTATTTATATAACACGTAAACTGACACTTTAACTATTTATTACCGTGATTTCACGAGCCATACAAAAATTTATCGCGTTTAGCAAATGTCAGCAGAAATTAGGAAGTATAATTTTCGTTCTGCATATAACACAGAAGTAGATTGCGGGTACAATTTCATAAGAAATAATATTAATAACGTCGAGGATAAGCAAAAGCTCTGCATTTGGAAAACGGCTCATCATATAGGACACATTTATTCCCACATTTCCTATCTTCTTTTACGCCTTTCATTAGTTCATCTCAGCTCGGGAGAATGCCCTACAATTCAAAACGACTGGAAATCACGTGAGTAAATTTTGACATGCGCATGACGAAATTTAAAAGACTGCAAAACTAATTTCTATCTATTTCGCCTTTGCAACGCTCAGGGGTCACTTGCTAACTCTTCAAGCCGCCGAGGAAAATTTGGGACCTGTATCCATCTCAACCTAACTCATTGTCACTCGAGCGCATCGAGTAAGGGTAAGTTTTCGCTTTGCATGCCTTAAACAATTGATACTCACTCTTATTTTTGCTTTATCATAACAAACTCTTGGATTTTGCTGCACTGTTTTTGAAGGTAAGTCAGGTAGTTGTTGGAAAAATCCACACTTATTGGTTCAGTCAGAAATCAGTTTTTTCTTCAATTCGAAATCAAGGGAGTTCCACTTATGCTTATTGGAGTGACTGAATCATTTTCGATAGAAAACAGCGTAGATTTGTCTAAAAAAATTTTTCTGCTGACTCAGCTTACCTTTAGGTCTCATTCCCAGGTTCTCGTGGTCACTAGTTCGACGCAAAAATTATTTTAAAAAATTGCCAAAAAAAGCAATAAAAAACTTTGGAATTTCGATTATAGACATGAATTCATCTACATTTTCGCATTGAATCTTCATAATTTACATTTTTTGTGTCTGGCTAAAAAATTTTTTAACACTCAATATATAAGTCATTAAACAGATATGTTGTCGGGAGACATTCTTCAACTATTTCAAGTATTTTCAAAAAATCTTTAACAGTAATTTTAAAATCATTGGACTGTTACTCAGCGTGTTTGTTTACGGACTTGTTTGTTCCCCATAAAGTAGACTTGTGAGTAAATTATACATTTCCAAGTTAGAGTCTTTGGTTGAAGCAACTTTAAACTTATGTTGATTCAGCACATCTTGCATCTCATAAATGTCAAAAATTGCGAGCAGACAAGCTTTGCGTTTTATAGATTGCACATGACGTTCTGAGTTAGGGTTTGAAATCGCTAGGGCCTCAGAAATGACTCTGGACGCCGTTAATGAACCAGGATAATTTTTTGGCAAAGAAACCGTGTCAGATAATTTTTCTCCTTCGCGCCTAAACTTTGGTTTGTTTTAAAATACTACTGGGCAAGACTAAGTCTGCAATACTGAGGGTACTTTAGTTGTTTATTACGTCGTACGTTACACGATTCATACATCGAGAATTTGGGATTTGGAAGTTTTATATGTGATTCATATATCGCTTTTTGCAAATTAAACATTTGTTATGTGTAAATTATGCATCACAAATTTGCGATTTAAATTTTAAAGATATTTAACATAACGCTCATGTAATTGCATCATGCATACAAATCCATAAATCGAAACGAAACGTCACTTACATATCCTGCTCACTATCAGTGTTACCATGCCGAGGTAAGAGGATTGGTCATTAGAATTATTCTAGATCTAGCGCGTAATAAGATTATAGTGCTGTAGAAAAAAGTGAAGTCCGGTTTAACCCAGTTTTAACGACACTTAGTCAGTTTTCGCAAACTAAGGAAATGTTCAACCCTGAAAGCGGAACAGGGAAGAGTTATGGAATAGATTGAGAATTCGTTCAGTTTTCTGTTTACCCATAAATATGTGTTATTTGCCGGCTGGGAGATCCGTATGGTGTATCCGTTCGTGTAACGTACGACGTAATAAACAACAAAAGTACCCTCAGTATTACAGGCTCAGTCTTGCCCAGTAGTTTTTTAAAACAATGCAGAAAGGGGAATCCCCTTATTATAATTTTAATTACAAAGCGATAAGCGTTGTTAAGGTGATTACCTTCAAACATATTCATCAAACTATCGCAAGCTACTGACTCCGCGTCAAGGGTACCAAATTGCGACGAAGAAATTCTGTTTGTCAGGTTAAAAAGGTAAACTAAAATTAATCGAGTTTTTATGTTTGTTCTACGTTGTATGTTTTTCATGTAAAGAGGTCGCTTGGATCAATTATTTTTAAATCCACTCAGGGCACGGATCGATCTGTGAAGAACAGTTAGAACTTAAGAAAATTGTTGATTCGAACTTGAAAATGTGATTTTAAAACGGCAACGAAAATGAGTCACTATTTTTGAAGATTCCATTTAGTTTACGAAATTTTGTAAGTTTGCCCAAACTGCGAGAAAGAAAATAGTAGTAAGCTTTGTGTAATTTTCAAATTTGGTTACCGTTATGACGCTCTGTGGTTGCTAGGGAACAGTGCTCCCTCGGGCAAACGTAGTTCCTTCGCAAAGACAAAGCACTGCTAAGCTGTTTGTCTAGACACCGTCACTGGCGTCTTCATAGGTTCGATTTCTGCCGTTTTCTTCGATACTGAATTGTCTTCGATCCACCCGAAAAGGGCTCCTTTCCCGAAAAAGCGGCTGTTAATCGA